GTTTGTATGGGTCTTTCACACAATAATGAGGAGAAACATTCTGAATAAGAAAACTGGTCATAAAGCCACAAACATTGGCTCAAGGAATTTTATTTCTATTAGATTTTAAGTTGACGGTGCCTCTTAAATCAGTTGGGTTTTTTGTTTTTAAGCAAATTTGTATCTGTTAACTGGATTCTTTATGACCATTTTCCACCTAGTGTACAAGAGAAGGAAAAAAGTATGTATCTATCAAAAGACCGTGTGCTGGTAATAGAAAATTATAACTGCTGTGGGTCTTTCTGCAGATGAACTGGGTCGACACTCAACTACAGAGGCCTCTCAAGCCACCTTAGCCAGCGTAGTCCCTGTGTTTGCAGTGGTAAGTGTATTGAAAGGTTTCAACAAAGGACAGTTTTTCCAAGCTAATCAGCATGTGTTTTTTCTCAAACTATTATTTGACAGAACTGGTTGTTCTCCATGATGTGTTCATAATGTGTGGATATTACTAAATAACTGTTTTAAAAACCCTAATTTGAGGGAAAGTTATGTTTGTCGATATATTTGCAACAGGACTATTATAATGTGCTAGCAAAATACCAACATGCTTTTTTTATGAGAAGATCATTTTTGTTAACTCACAATTTAATCATGAAGACACAGTTTAACTCTTGAAGAATTGTTGTAAAATGCATGCTTTTGCTATTAAAAATACACTATTTTTGCCTTTTTTTTGTTATTAATGTCACGGAATGTGGTAGCTGCAATGCAGGACAGCCAATGGTTGAAGGAAGAATATCTTTTTTTAGGTATGCAGCTGAGAGAACTAGGCTAGCCATTCATAGCGAACAATCTGTTCACAACCTCCTTGTTTGCCACTGGAAGATGATGTGATCACACGTGAAAGCAGACTGTTGAGAGCATTGGTACACATACAGGCCCTGATCCTGCAATGAGGACCACATAATTGTTTCCTCTTATATACAACTACTAGCTTTAAAAAAAACTTATGAATGGCTCTTGAATAAGCAACATCTCTCAAAGCAAGAGTGCAAAAGCTTTGATCAAATCAATTCTTGCAGTTTTTCCAATAAAATGACTTTAAGTTTACAGAAAATACTCATGTTATGTTAATACTTTGGAATATAAATGAAAAGTAAATAAAATGTTAGAAACAAATTATTCCTTGCTTCGTTACATTAGCATGCTATCTATTCTTTCACTTACACGTAGTGGAATTACACAGTAAATACCGTTCAAAAATCAGGGAGTGAATAGCCCCCTACTATTGTTGCTTTTTGCCTTGTAAATTGTTCAGCTAAAACAACACAAGATGAAACAACAAAACCTGAAACACAAAATGTAAAGAGCCCTTTTTGTGCCAACACAAAAATCTCATTCTCTTTTAAAAAAAAAAAAAAAACCTCCTGGGGAGTAGATATCAGTGTGAGCCAAAGATATAGTTATGAACTTAATTGG